TTGCTGTCCATACCTGGTCCTCTCATCCATATCTTGACAACATGTATGTGTCTTTGCAGGTGCCATCACCTCCTTTGCTGCAGGCTACGTGAAGATCCGTTGGACGCTGTGGTCAGAGCTTGTGATTGGTGTAGTGACAGCATTCCAGGCAGGCCTCCTTTTGCTGATGAACACTACTGCCAACATCTGGCTCTGCTATGTGGCTTACATCCTCTTCAGGAGCTCCTACCAGTTCCTTGTGCCTATAGCCATGTGAGTGGTGAGAACAACTTGACGACTAGGCCTCCATTAGTCACGCTGGTAGTGAGGAACATAACGATTATGATATCCATCGTTACCTGGATATATATCGTCATTCTCACTCTTTTCAACATGCAAAAAGATGTGGGGGTGGTTTGCATGCATACCCCAATATATAGTAGACCAGATTAGCTTTCTAGTATCTGCTTTGTTAAAGGAGGGATTGTAATGCCAATAAATATCCCCCCACCCTTGTAAGGATGCCAAGAATAGCATTTTGGTCCCAGGGTAGATATGTTGTTGGAGGCTTTCAGTATTCAGCCTAGGTGAACAAGCTACGGTGATTGCTGCTAATGTGCTGAATGATATTAGCTAATTTGTTGGAAATGCTAAGGCGGGGATGGTTAACTAAATACAAAGAACTGGATTAGGTGGTCTTTAGCACTCTTCCAGGCCAGCATCTGTATGCCTTTAACCATTGGATATTTCACTAACATCAGTGATAAAAGTATTACAGCTTCCCAAACTTTCCTCTTGGTGTAAACTCCCAAGCTGCCTTTTTAAAAGGTAAAGGTAAAGGTACCGCTGCCCGTACGGGCCAGTCTTGCCAGACTCTGGGGTTGTGCGCCCATCTCACTTAAGAGGCCAGGGGCCAGCGCTGTCCGGAGACACTTCCGGGTCACGTGGCCAGCATAACATCGCTGCTCTGGCGAGCCAGTGCAGCACACACGGAAACGCCGTTTTACCTTCCCGCTAGAAAGCGGTCCCTATTTATCTACTTGCACCCGGGGGTGCTTTCGAACTGCTAGGTTGGCAGGCGCTGGGACCAAGCAACGGGAGCGCACCCCGCCGTGGGGATTCGAACCGCCGACCTTTCAATCGGCAAGCTCTAGGCACTGAGGCTTTTACCCACAGCGCCACCCGCGTCCGAGCTGCCTTCTTAGGTCAACACAAAATAACTAGCATTAGCCCTATCTCTATGCCATCTTTGGCTTGTAAGTAAAAATGCATTGATCTTTGCGAGTGCCTTGTTTGTTGGTGATGCTGTAGCATGCCATCTGTGGCTGTGGTCCTGGGATGGAGAACCTGTGGCCCTCCCTGTGGGACTCCCAAAGTTATCACATGGATACCTGGCTTGGCCAAGAATTCATAGCAATGTCACCTTTTGTCAGTATCAGGACTGTGAACTATCATCAGCCCCAGGGAGCATAGCCAGTGGTCTGGGATCATAGGAGCTGTAGTCCTTCATTGTCTGGAGGGCCACAGGCTGGCCACCCTTGCCCTGAGCCATAAAGCGACCCTCCCTTTGTCCTTGGTGCCTTTTCAGTGCTTGCCAGCAGAACTGACCTGCCTTCTTCTCTTTCTCTCACTTTGACTGAAGTTTCCAGATTGCAGCTTCCCTGTCCAAAGAGCTCTGTGCCCTGGTGTTTGGAATCAACACTTTTCTCGCTACAGTTCTCAAGACTGCCATCACTATCATCATAACAGATAAGAGAGGTCTGGGTCTCTCAATCCACCCTCAGGTAAGAAGCACAAGTTACACTGAGGCTTGCAGTAGTGGGCTTTTGACCAGTCCTAGCTGCCTTTGGGGCTTACTTTGTAGGTTCCTCCTATGGAAGGAGGTCCTTTGAATAATCTGGTGAACCACATAGTGGGAACTCAAAGGGACCTATTTGCAGTGGATCCTCTTGCCTTGCTTGGACCACTTTTGGCTGTTGGCCCCATTCTATGCATTGCCCATCATGTTTTGGAGTGGAAGCAGGGCTGGCAAAAATTAAAAGGCATGTAAGCCAAGAAAAATAGAACTTCTGTTCTTTATCTTCCTTATTTATTTATGTTAAGAGATGTATGCGCTTGCTTTTGGATAAGTTTCTAGGGGGGCTAGCAGTCACTCAGTTGTCCTTTCCAAAAAGGTTTGTGCGAGAGTTTTAACACAGTGATCTTGAACACATGCCAAATCACATGATTCCAATGGAACTTGTTGCCAAGCAAAGTTCTGCTGAGTTAACAGAACTACCCCCTAATAAACATGTAAATTGCTACTAATCCTTGCCATTTGCTGATTTCTCTTACATTGTCCTCAACAAAAGCTTCATCCATCCTACAAGAATCGAGCTTATATTATTATTATTTTTAAAAGATGCTGATCAGGAAGCTGCAAATGTAATCTGTTCCCGTAAGGGCTGTCATTGCTGGCTCATGGCTGTGGAAGACTTAACAAAGCCTTGTAATCACCTGCTGCTCATGTGACAAGATAAGAAATGATGACAGTGCATTGGAATAGCATGGCAGCTGGTTATGCATGTGTGTTTAAATCTTCCTTACTGGAAGTAGCGGGCACAGGTTGGAGAAATATTTGTTTTGGGGTTTTTTTTAATGAAATGTTTATTAAGCTTTTTTAGAATAATACAGTAAAAATGAAAAAGAAAATAGAAAAATACAAAATAAAAACGGTTAAAAACACACATATTTTCTGTTACTTATTTTCCTTTAACTTATTTCCCGGACATCCTCATACCTCCCTTTTTTGTATTCCGCTTCAATTTATTGGTTCAGCAAATCCTTACCATTAGATTTTAACCCATTTATAACCCTTTTTTCATATTCTCTTAGAGCATTACAGCTGGAAACCCCTTAATTACTATCCAACATCATTCTATCATTCATTAATTTTACAATATTTCTGTAGATAGTCTTTAAATTTCTTCCAATCTTCTTCCACCGACTCTTCTCCCTGGTCTCGGATTCTGCCAGTCATTTCTGCCGAGAAATATTTGGTTGGGTTAGTTCAGGTAGACTTTATCGATGAGGCTGGAGGAAAAGCAGGGTGCCTTTTTTAGCTAGAGTTCCAGCTTTATGTATGTCGCTGCAAATGAGGTTGGCAGATGCATATCATGTGGAGTTCCTGCTGTCAGAGATGGGATATAATTTTGACTTATGATAGCTACATAGAACATTCCAGCTCAGATGCTGTGTTCTGGCAAACAGAAAGCAGTGGGGGACAATTGCTGTTATGCCTGTATGTGGGAGCTTGAGGGGAATTTTCACTTGGCTGGCCGCTAGAGTAGATTGACCTCTGATCCAATGGTGCTCTTCCTCTTCTTAAAGAGTTTCCCTCCTAGCTCTATTCTGTGTTTCTGTGGGCTGCTGGTCATTTCTGATTTTTTTAGTGCTTTGGAGGAAAATAATGCACAGGGCCTCAATACATTGTATCTCCCTCTTTCTCTTTTCCAGTTCTACGTTTACTTCAGCTATTTCACACTCCTGACAGTGGTGTATCTTTCTGCATCTGTGTATGTGGCTGTGAAGCATAATGGATGCAGGAAACCTCCAGAGGAAGCACCACCCAAGGAACTCACCATGCCAGTTGAGGACAGAGGCACAGAGCTGGCTAACTTGGAAGTCTGAGAAAACGGTGGATGGGGAAGAAAAGGAGCTGGCCTACCTGTATACTCCCAGCTGGGATGTAACACAGAGAACTCCCATGTTAATCAGCACTTAGAAGCATCTCAGCTTTCCAGAGTATCAGATCACTGCAGAAGGAAAAGGCCTTCCTTAACTTCAGGGCTTGTGCATCAGCAGCACGCAACCAGACGACTGGATTTCCCCTCCGTCTTGGTCATGTGTGTGGCATAGGCTCCTGAGCTCAGGTGAGATTATGGACACATTTGCCAGTGTTATGGTTGGCACCTGGTGATTTTATGAATGTAGTTTTAAACACTGATAATACTCTGCACGCTTTCCCCTCAGCCTTTAAAAGAAGTCAACAGCAAGCAAGGTGGACGCAGGTACTTTTAAAAAAATAAAATACAATAGTTTTACTTTTTTATAAAACAATCAATTTGTTACCAGTAAATATACTCTGCTGGGAGTTATGGATTGCAATATTTGTTGAAACTTTCCTCCTAAGAAAATTGAGCTCCTTCTCATATTTGTTTTCAGAGTTATGCTTAAGAAAACAGGACTGAGAGTAAGGCTGCCAACCTAACTCACATCCTCTCATCCATTTGGGACAGTGAGTGCGAAACACAATGCGCTTTTTAACAATCACTTTAGATCCTCTGGAGGAACATAATCCTTGGAAAGTATACACTTGCATTTTGTTCTGACTTGTTCTCTTCCACTTTCCCCACCAAAGACAATTGATTTTCAAATACCTTCACCGTCACATAATAATTTATACTGGCCACAGTAGTATGCTCAGTGGGCATTTGAGAGGAAGGTGGGAGTGATCAGGTCTTTAGCAGAGTCCTGATGACTTTCCAAACTAGCTTGGACTTTTCATCCGGTTTTGCCTCCAGGGGCCAGTTCCACGAATCCTTCTAGACCAATAGGCCATGGGTGGTAGTCACACAGTGGCTGCTTAACATAAAATGGCGGCCATATGAAAAGGAGCATGGCAACAAAAAGGTGTAGCCGTGCCCCCCCCCATCAGCCCATAGGCACTCGCTTGCTCATGGAAAGCTCTTTGTGATGCTGTTCTGTTCAGAAGGGAAGGTGAAATGTGTGCTGGGAGTACATTCAGTGTAGGAAGACCAAGTCAGTGCAAACAGATATTGAACAGGAAGAGCAAACAGTCTGTCATTGTGTATCGTGGATTTTTCCCCAGATACCACGCTGGTGGGCCTGTGAGTGCCACGCTGGGACTTCCAGCCTAAAAGGGATTTTTCACATTCTCCTGGAGCAAATGGAGTCAGGGTTCAGTTCAGGGATGTAGAGAGAGCCCTCTGCAATTCCATGCAAATGAACAACAACAAATAACAAGAGGATACTTTCCTTTATTCAGTGCCTTTAGAAAACAGTTTATAGAACACAACACACAACTGACAAAGATATAGAGATCCACAGGCTTTTAAAATTGCATTAAAAATTTCACAAAATACAGTAGACAGTAATAAACTGATTGTGTGACTTGCACAGGCTCCCTCTCCCTCCCTCCCCATCTGGTAATAAAATTTCAGAAAGACAATCAATGAAAGCTAGGTAGAAATTTAGCACCTTGGTTTGTCAAAACAGACTCAAACGCTCAGACATTAATGTGTTTAAAACAGAACTGATACACAGCAATCATCTGCCTGGCCAAGGCTTCTGGCACTGAAGTGGAAGGGCTGTGATGGGGGAGAGGTACCAGAAGCTCAGTCACAGTTAAGCCCATAAGCATGGCTTCCTTCACTCTGCATTCAGCGCTAAAATGGCAAAATACTGCTTGCCTACCTGTGCTTGGGTGACACACACTAACAGACAGTGACTAGTGTGAACTCTAGTCCTTCCCCCTCGAAAAGGTCAGCAGAGTGCCATTCTGCTCTGATGCGGCAGAAGAAATGCTGGAAAATACAGCTATTAGAAATGGCTTGGTTCTGGTGGTTCCTGCCACAGTGTATTGGGAACAGAGGAGAGAAATGAAAGGGGTCGATACTGGACAGAGATGGTTCTTAATTGCTTAAATTTTGTATTATCTCTTATTTTGGAGCAGTTGCTAATAACAGATTCCAGATCTGAGATATTTAGGAGAACATTCCTGGCTGGAGGATTGTAAATCTGATCATCTGCTGCAAACACAGCTCGCTATAGGTCCATCTGTTCTTCAGGGTCTCAGGTAGGACACTTTCACCTCACCTGTTACTTTACAGTGGAGGTGCCAGGACTTGAACCTGGGTCCTTCTGCATGCAAAGCATAGGTTCTGCACCACTGGGCTTTGGTCACACTTCAGATAGGTTAAAGCAACAGAGGGTTTCTGAGAGCTGGCATGACCCCCCAAGGCTTCAGCCAGGAGGGCCTGCCTCTTTTGCACTGACTAACCTGTTCTCTTTGAATATGGCTAGTAGAGGCATCCTCTATGGAGAATGGAGGAAGGCAGGGCAAGTATAAAAATGTAAAAAAACAAACAAACCCACAAATCCAAATACTGATTGTTACAACGGCAAGCAGTTTCTTCTTCCATTATGGCCTGTAAGGAGACTGGCTGAGGCAAAAGTCACTTAGGAGGCTGCTAACACCTCTAGTTCTCTTTTAGAGCTAGACAATGTGAAAGGGCTGGGTGGGGGAAGAAGCAAAGGAGAGAACTCTGCCATAGCAAGGCTTGAAGGTTCAGTCTCACTGCCCTGGACATGTCTCAGCAAAGGATACTGTCAACTCTGCAGCAAAAATTGCAACCAGCTATGAAGAGTGTTGTTTGCATCTATGTTTGGAAATAATAAGGCATTATGCCAGTTGGTGAGTCAAGCAGAGATAAGGGAGTGTATTTTCTGCAAGCCCATATATTACTCTCGGGGGGTGGGGGGAGAGACAATCAAATTCCTGGTCTCTTTGGCAGGATCCCCCCCCCCTTGATACTATTCTGGGCACACAACAGAAAAGCCACCTCAGTGTTTACAGAAATCTTAATTTTGATGATTATGCACTGTCCAGCAGGGTCTAAGCTTGTATTATTTAGCACCATGTCCCCACTATAAGGCAGGCAGTGCCAAGTTATTGGGTTGTGTAATGCAGAAACACCTGCAGCGCTACACTGACAGTAAGGGGGAAGCTGCTGTTTGAGGGCTACCTTATGTTAAATCAGCCACAATAAATAGACTTTCTGACCTATCCCAACATGGCCTTGGCTTTTTTAAGGGGCCACCTGAGTGGAAGGGGGGGAGAGAGGCAAACAGGGAAGCTTAACACACACAAACAATTCAAGGGTTAAACATGAGCAGGATTAGAGAGAGAGAGAGAGAGAGTTAACTGCTCCGTGTACCACACTTGCCTGGAGATTGCCTTGCACACAAGCCTGTTCTGCTCCAGCCCCTCCAGCAGGCAGGTATGATTCACAGCAGCCACGCCAGGAGGAAAGACACAAAACATTCAGCACCAGAGCTGCGCTGGAAGACACTCTTTGGCTTTGTCACTCATTCATCTGCTTGACTGATATATTGCGGAACTGCTTGGGCACATGATCCTGGTGGGGGTGGGGGGTGGGGAGTGGGAAGCGCTTGCCCATTTCCCCTGTTCCTTAAGGGAAAACATTTGGGTTCCCTTCCTCCACTTGCAGCCAGTGCTTTTGTTGTGTGCCGTTTTTTATTTCTTGGAAGAAGTCATGAAGCTGTTTTCAATGCAGAGGACGATGAAGGCATTCTTGCAGCTGCTGCTCTTCTGCTCAAGCAGCTTGCCCGACGCCAGCGAGGAAGCCTGCCCTGTCACCACCGTGTCGTCTGTCCGCCAGGTCTCACAGTAGCTCTCTGTTAGCCGCCGTCCCTTGGAGTCAGAGCCGTGCCACACGGATTTCTGAGGCCTGAAACATACCAGAGTGTTAGGGGTTGCTTCACACGTAAGTGGCTGCAGGTGCCCCAGCAATCACAGCTCCCCTTGGGCCGATGCTTCGTGGGCTCTATACAGTGTTGACTCTCAAAGCCACCCATTCTTGCCACATAAAGTGGGGGCAGTTGGTCTGCGCAGCATCTTGTAGGAATGAACTGCTGCCAGCCTTGGGATAAGGTACCTGGGACATTTACTCCACTTCTTGACCTTGGACAGTCTTTTGGGAAGGAAAATAATGCTACACACAAATAATATACTGCTGGGGCAACATAAAATGCTTGGCGTAGCCGACCTGCTTGGCGTCTAAACATTTCGTTCCTGAAAACCTGCCCCCCAAGAGAAGCATCACATGGGGCTGGAAAAAGAATACAAGATAGCAAACACATTCCTCTTCTCTTTGCCTGCTCTTTATAAACAAAGGAATCTTCTTTGATGCCCTTGGAGTTGCAGAGCCAGAGAGGCCAGGCCCAGCTGGAAGGGCAGCAAACCTGCATTCCCAGATCTTCAGAGAAACAAAACCATTTCCCCCACCTACCATGCAGAGTCTCTCAGGACATCCCTTCCGTCAAAGGAGAAGATGCGAACCCCAGTTCTGAATGGAGCATCAGTGCCGGAGAAAAGGTTCTCCCAATTATTAAACAACAATTCATCCTGGAAAGGAACAGAAACGGGCAATGTAATAATGTAACTGCTCTGAGAATACTTTCTGCCTGTCTGATAACTTTGAGACAGGCTGCCCTTTCCATGGACAAGACCTTGGGACCTTGCATGTCCCAGGTTCACTCCCTGGTGCCTATGGTTTAAAATATCTCAAGCAACTGGTCTGGGAAAGGCCCCTGCCTGAGAACCTGGAAGGACAGCTGCCAGTCTCCCAGTTCAATGCAAGGCAGCTCTTTACAGAAGTTTTCAAGGCGACGTCTTGAGCTGCATTACAGATCAAGTATTAAAGATAAAGCTTTTAAACCTTTTTATAAAAAGTAAATAAATATTAGGTGTTGTTAAGAGATGATGATGCTGCCTTGCAGGTTTGCCCCTGACCACTAGTCTTGATGTGTAGTTCTTGCCTCAATTAACACCACTTGGAGGCTGCAATCCTACACAGGGGCAGGAAAGGAAGACAGCACTCCCATCGCTGAGCTTCATGTTTGCCTTCCGCTGTCACGAAGCGTTGTCTTTGCTCAGGCCTCTGACCAGACGTACCCTGAGGTTGACAATAGGCACCGTGCCCCTGTCTGCTCTGCGCACTATGCTGTAGAGGTCTTGCAGTCGGGAGGAGAGGAACGCTCGGAAGGTGCCCGTCAGTCCAACCTCCCTGGCTTGCTGGAAGCACTGGAAGTCAGCTCCTCGGATGCCCCGCATGCTGCCACTCAGGGGAGTGTTCAGGGCTATGAGGTGGAGCTGGAAAAGCAAGAAGACGACCACACATGAGAGGGAGCCTGTACCAGTACACAAGGGGGCTCTCAGTGCAACTGGCAGAGGGGGAGGAATGTCCGGCCACCACAATACAAGCAGCCAGTCAGCAATGGGGCTGAGCATGGGGGTCGGGGGGCTTTGCTGCTGCTTTCTGGGACTCCTGAGAATCATGAGAGGCCAGCCCTGTTATTTCTCTCACTGGAAATCATTCATTGTTGGGGGGGGGGTGGCATTTCAGAAGTAGTTGCCTATTCAATGGTTATGTCCACAAAGCAGTCAAATTATAACTAAAATGCAGAGGTTATAGTAAGTAGTAACACCCTCACCCTCATCAAAGCTATTGCGACATGGCTCTGGGATGCATTCCAACAACTGAGAACTGTTTATATTGTGTGGGTGTGGACTAGCCAGCTTGTCAGCCCCTGTAGTCTCTTCTTCAAAGGCATCCTATACCAAGCTGTAAGCATAGGGTGGCCCCATGGAGCAGCCTCCCAGCCTGGGATGGAGTGAGTATGTTGTTGACTGGCTGTCTACATCTGAAGCAAAGGGATGCAGGATGCAGGCACCCTCTCTGAGGGGATTGGGCCCTTTGGGCCCCTTCAAGCAAAGAACTTACACCATTCAGAGGTTTCGATGTTTGATTGGGATTCTTGAAGGGGCCTCTTGCTCATTCATTCCTATTGCTGGCAAAGAAGCCCATTCAGACTCCTCATTGCTAGTGGCAGACCGTCATGCTAAGCTAGGTGGGCAACCTGTAGAGAGGAACCCTTCACAATGGAAGCCAGCAGGCAGGGGACCCTTTGGTGCCCACTCAGTGTCTTTATGTAGGGCCAATTGAGGCAGCCACCCAGGCAAAACACCAAACTGCAGCAGGGGACTCTGACAGCGTGTGCAGGGCACTCACAGCAGGCTGGAAGTCATGGTGGGTGTGGACAGCAGAAGGGACGGCATCAGGCTGGCGGTTGAGGAAGAAGGCGTTCAGCGGCTCCTGCTGGTGCTGGGCTCCCTGGTGTGGCTGGTGGATGGCGGGTTGCTCAGGAAGGCGGTGCTGGTTGGCCACACTCTCATCCCCTCTCCAGGGCTTGGCAGTGGAGTAGGCGCTGTATTCTCGGTGGGAATGCACAGGCAAATGCTGTTGGAAGGGGCGCTGGGATCCAGATGATGAAGCCGTTCCTCCATGGGAGTAGTGGACATTGGGAGGCCTATCATATACCTCATTGTCCTGCAGCAGAATGAAGGGAAATGTTCCTAGAACCCTTTCTAAGTGTCCTCTTAGGGGGTCCGTCTCACAGAAGAGCACAGGTCAAATAAAGCCAACCTCCCCCCCCCCCATTTCCTGCCACTCGCAGCACAATCATCCGGCTGCATTACCAGCAGAGCCAAGCATGCACCCAACCAGTCTGAACAACAGCCAGCTACATCAGCTGCATCCCAGTACAGGTGATCCAAAATCCTTAGTAGCCCACTGTGGACTTGATCAATCAAGTCCCCCTGCATGACATGCCTCATTTGGATTTTCCCTGATCTATACCCGAGTGCACCATATAGGTCACCATGTATTGAAATCCAAGCACTAAAGAACATTGAAAAGCTTGCTAATCCCTGGATCTCAAAACTCCTAGCAAGCTTGGAATGACCCACAATAGACCCAGTCCATGCTACAACACCAGGTAATAATGTTTCACTTACCAGCCCAGGGCCAGAGATGGATATTCTTTCCTCAAGCTGAAATTAAATCAGAACAAGTCATTATACCATTTATATAATGTGTTTTGCTTACTTTGTAACATTTATAAGAACCCTAGTTTGGTATTATTATCTCCAAATTGCGTGTCTGAAGTCTTGCCTTAGACCACCCAGTGAATTCATGGTTGAGGAAATACTTCATCTAGGGAATTCCCAGCTCACAGTTCACTCTATACCACCAGCTCCCTATTACTATTATTCTTTAGGATGAATTTTGCTATTTTCAAATGCATATTTTGTTCTGGAGGGAAAGGGAACATTTGCCAGAATGAAATAAAGCTGTAGTTGTTGCAACCTGAAACTTATCCAGGAATTCATTTGGTAAGGAGGAAACAATGTCTATGGATCCCATATCAGATTGTTTCAAGTAAGCTTCTTCCTAATCAAGCCAGAGGAAGCTCATTCATCGCTACAAGGGAGCATTTCTTCCTGGCATTGCATTCCCTCTGTGTGTATAAATTAGCAGTCGGTTCTGCATTGCTCTGAGCATCTGCCAATACCCCACAGAGAAAGACCGCTCTCCAAGGTAGTAGTCCACCTACAGTCTTACCCCAAGACTGCTGTGTTCACACACATCATACTCACAAGGACTCTCCTGAAACCACTGCGGACACGGATGTAGAGCTCTTCCCTGTCCCGGATGAAAAGGAGCTGTCCTTCTGGCACCTCATGAGCTCTGCCCATCATGGTCTGATAGGTTGGCAAGATTCGCAGCTGCTGGAAAACAAATCATTTGAAAAAGGAACAACGAAAAGGGTGCAGCCATTCATCAGTCTGAAGTACAAGGTGGTGGCTCACCATTAATACAATTTATATTTGGTGCGCTTGTAAACTGCGGGCATATTGATGACAGCCCTTGCTTTAATCACACAGGGTTCTTCATCAAATAGAGAGCACCTGAGTTATAATAGGCCATAATTACAGTCAGATTCACAAGCCAGAAGCCAATGACAAACTTCACGGTCATCACTCTTACAGTGTTATCATGTCTATTACAACAAATATTTGTCGTAATTCCCAGAAATTGGAGTGGCGTTCCTTTCAATTAGCACCCTAGAGCTTTCCAGAACTAGCAACAGCTGTTCCTATTTGCAGGGCTAGCAGAAGCAGCAGCTGCTGCTGCTCCTATTGGACAATAAATGGTTGTCCATGTTCATAGATGGAGCATCATCAATCACTCTGGCAGCGGCAATCTCTAGCCAATTTGTTAAATCCTTGCTTGAGCAAAACCCATCAGGGCCACCCACAGGAAGGTAACTTGCTCCATCCCCACGAAAGGAGCACCACTGTGTAGGCTGCAGTGACCCACTGCCGCTTTTTCTTACCCCAGAAGATGATGCATCACTGGTGCCTGGAGTTCCTGGTGGTCCTGGCGGCCCCGGTGGCCCAGGAATACTAATCGCTGGAAATGAAACAAACCCAGAGCTAAAGCAGGTATATTCGCACAAAGCTTGTTTTTAAGGCCTAAAGCAGGGCCATTTGCAATGAGTAGCTGGGAAAGAATCAGGTATCTACTCACATTGCCTATGGGGTCCTGGAAAGGAAGGGGGTCCTGGAGGGCCAGGTGGACCCGGGGGTCCTGGGGTTCCTGGGCGCCCCTCAAATCCTGCGCCAGGAGGCCCTTGGGGGCCAGGAGGGCCAGGGGCCCCTCTAATACTGTCCCCTTTGGGGCCCTGAAGAAGCAAATAACATACATGCATATTAGAACCACTGAAGTTTTACTCCATGGCAGAAACATCCACCTGCCGGTACTGATCCGCCTAAGCAATTAATTACATTCATAACCAAATGCATAGTTCTAATCCTTCCTCCCCCTTTCTCCTTCCATTGCCCCACACAAACACATTCCTCTTCCAGCTTCCTAGGCCCCGCGGCAGATGGAGCAAAGGAAATGTCATGCCCCAAGGTAAATTATCCAAAGCTCTAACAACCAGTAACCCTTCTACTCCAGGTGCCCACCCCACAACTTGCCTCCTCTCTCACTTCCCTTGTTCTCCCACCTGCTACTACAGTCTCTCTCCACTGCTTCTGCCACTCTGGGCAAAACAGCATTTGTAACGGTGGACAGCCTCATGGGATAAGAGAAGGCTAGTCACAAAGCAAACCCTCTCCTCCCCACCATCAGGATGATGTAAAACAAAATCTGCCACCTGTGGCAGCTACCCTACTCTGCCTAATGGCAGGGACTGCAATGCACTTGAGAACTTCTGCACCTTGGAGATTGGGTGCTTATCCTTCTCTCCCCAAATCCCCTACCAAAGGTGCCACTTGCACACTCAGTTCCCCCTGCCTTGGAAAGTATTATAGAATGCAGAAGACTATCCCGTGGTAGAAAGATGTTGGCCACCAACCCTCGTAACAATGCGGTGTGGGGTATCTCACCGGAAGACCAGGATATCCTGGGGGGCCTGGGGGTCCAACAGCACTTGATCCAAACAATCCTCCTCCGCCTGGCTCACCCTTTTCACCTTTCAGCCCTGGGTCCCCTCTGTCCCCTCTTTCTCCCTATGGAAAGATATTAAATAAGCAAATAGACAGTGGCCAAACAAAATGCATTCTCCAAGATTAGCACTATTTCCTTCTAGACTTGTTCCTCTGGCTTGTCCACATTTCCCCTTGTGCTGTGCCTAGAAAACGGGTCCAAGCAGTTTTCTGCTTGACTCATGCTTTCTAGGCACAAATCAGAGTGATCTGTCACATTAGGGAATATCTGAGTAAAATAGGTTCATTGGGCAGACCTCTCTCTCCTACATCTTGCACGCAGCACCAATACACCAGCTGAACTTCAGTTGTTCAGCCACGGTAATGACAGGTGAAGATACCTCCTAGCTGAAGCTTCAGCAATATTCAGGGGCAACTAATGTGAAAACCATCAAAACTGACAAAGGGGAAGAGAGAGAGGAAAAAATACAATCATTCAAAATATCTTAGATAAAATAACTGGTTTTAAATTGTATTATGCTGGTTTGTGATGATGACGGCTGATTATAAAGCTTTATGTTTTTGTATTGTACGATGGTCTTCGTAATTTGTTTGCTGTCCTTTGATTTTTGATTTTAAACACTGAAAGCCACCTTAAAAGGGTAGGTACCCAAAAAGGCAGCTTGTAAAGTTTAGAAGCAAATAGTAAATCAAACAAAAAGGCTTTTTGCCAATCCTTGTGACCCTGACCTCATTAAATGCAAAGCGGCCCAAACCTGTTTGCCATCCTAGTGTGTCCTCCCCCAGCAAAACCCCTTAAGCTTCTTTTTAAATCTGTATATTCCTCCCAAATGGCAGACACTTACCCTGAAGGTGGAGCCAAATCTGCTGAGGTCATAAGGGAACTGGCCTTGTGACAAAGGGAGAAGAAAGGGAGAAGAATGAGAAGTTCGTAACGGCAAAGAAACCAACTCTGCTCAATGTGGGGCTTCTTTCCATTGTGATCTTTGGATCTTTCTCTTATGATGGGCCTTCATGGCACAACCCAGCCACTTATGACTGTATGGAAAGGGCTTTTGTGTATCACTGGGTGAAAAATTTGGGAGCAATACTCATGTAAAATGCATTATTTTAGCTTGTGCTAATAAGCCTGGTACTTGTACTGATAAGGCTTGCACTAATAAAGCCAGCGCATAACTCGTACAGATTTTTTTCCAAGAGGATACAGACAAGCTCAGCTAGGCTTTGGCTTCCTGCACAACGAAAAGGAGGGGCCATAGCTCAGAGGTACATCTGTTGCCTGTTTTGCACATAGGTTTGATCTCTGGCTTCTATGCTTAAGGTAGTGAAGGTGCCACCGGTGCATGTAACTTGACTAGATGACACCAGGTTTATTCTAGCCCTGCAGGTCTTGGATTTTGTAGAGTACTCTGTGGTAAGCAGTGCAAGAACTAGCCTGTACAAAAGCTGTTGGATGCACTTGGCTGGAGACATAAAATAGGGACAATAGGCTAATAGCGACAGAAACCTGCTGCAAAGCAAGAACTTGTGTGGTGCAGCCACCTCAGAACAACACACCTGAACCACAGCATGCTACAGGTCTAAGGCAGGAGCAGGGAGGTTAATTGGAGGTGTGCAATGCCTAGATACGAGTTGAGTGCAACAAGGCTCAAGCACATGAACCAAGTCACAAGAGGCTTCCATGACTGCCACTAGCTCATGAATCCATGACACCTCTTGGTAAGTGTTGGTCAAAAGGTGGAAGTTAAATGCAAGTAGCAACACTGCAGGAAATCTTACCTGGGGGCCCAGGAGGACCCACATCACCTTTTTCTCCCTTCGGACCAGCAGAACCATGGTAGCCTGAAACAAAGTCCTGGCATAAGGCTAGACAGTCCCCAAGAGCCAGTGAGAAGGCACTGCACATCCATAGTCCAAAACTTCCAGAACTGCTAGAGGACGTACTGATTTATACTATCATGCAAGGGTATTAATTGCATATTCGGTTCACATTAAAATGATTCCAAATGCCTTTTAGAAGGAAACAATGTCATGGCTCTGTACAGCAAGGGTAGCTAATCTTTCCAGTGCAAGGGCCACATCACCCTGCAATGCTGTGGACAGCATGGTGGCTGCCCCACAGCTGACATGTGCCCAATCATCAGATGGGATGATCTGCAAACACCCCACCCAGCCAAGTATCATGATAAGGGTGAAAACGGCTATGTTCCCACCAGTGCTCTACACCATATTTTTTCTCTAGTGGCATTGCTACTGCCACCATATTGGTTCATGGAGCTGGTGTGCAACCAGGTAAGGTTTGGTGGGCTGGATCAGGCTCCCAATGCCTACTTGAGCAAAGACTGGCATTAATATGGGAAGTCTTTAATGGTGACCCATAGAGCACCATGGAAAAGGAATTATGAATCCACCCTTTCCTGCTGCTATAGAGGGATTCACCCAAGGAATCTGATGGGGAAAGCCAATCTTTGTCATCCAACCCCATGCTTTAACCGCTTCTGCAACATCCTTACCAGGCAATCCTGGAGGCCCCGGTGGTCCCACTTCACCAAATGCCTGAAGTTGCAAAATAAATAAAATAAATCCCCCCATGAAATACATTATTACCCAATCATTGTATAACTAGCAAGACATTCAGTTTCTGGCATTTACACATGTTTCCCCCTAGCAAGGAAAATGCACATAGGCCATTACTCACATTGTTGTCATAAATAGGCACTATGCTGCCCGGAGGACCTGGGGGCCCAGGAGGGCCAGGGAGCCCTGGAGGACCCTAGAGGGAGGAAGAGAAAAACAGACATCCCATTAATTATGTGGGGAACTGACTGAGAACAGAACAGACTGAATAGAACAGGACACTAGCCAATATCCACTCAACAGTGACAATTCTGCAACCACCCTGTGTCTTTGTGGGTGCTGCTCCTGGTTTTAACTGGAACACAAGATTGTGCAATGTGGCATTGCTTCTACTTCCGGGACTTGCGGTCAACTCAAAAGGTGGAAGACAGGAAGATGACACAGCCAGTGGAATGCATCCTGCACTCTGTTCCACCTCCTTATCATGCATGTCATCAGCATTTACAAAAACAAACAAGGTTTGTGTTTCTTTCCACCACCCACAGACAATACTTCCCCCAAATCCCAGACTCCAGGCTTCAAATATTTCATTATTCTGTCTGCAACAGCAGAGGAAATCAGAGCGTTCACACACAATATACTTGACAAAATTGTTCTTGCAGTGCATGGACCAGGATTAGCATTGCTTTACTAGAGTCCACACGGTGGGTGGTTATGGCACTCTCGGACTGGCGCACGACAGCCCAGGGGTCTGGCAACAGCACAGAATTAGGCCTATGATTTTTCTTGCCTCCCCAATGCTGTGCTGTGCTGCTGCCTGCTCCCTGGTTCTAAGTAGACCAGAAGCAAAATCACTCCAAGGCAAAGGGGATGCAGCACACATGAGAAATAGGGCTCTCACAAAAATGCTTGGCCACTGCTGCATTTGGATACTTGCAGCCACACTAGGACAAGAGCAAGGTCGTTTTCAGATGCCCCTTGGGGAGGCGTGAGACCTTTTTCTTCTCTCATAACAAAGTCTGACGATGCTCATGCTCGGGGTTACAGTGGGATACAAAGGCCATCAAAGCTAGCAGCACTGCATGAACTGCACCATCTAGAGAGATGTGTCAGTTTTCCACTTACCCTTAAGCCCAGCCCTCCACTTGCGTCTGCTGGGTCACCTTTTTCTCCTTTCAACCCGTTCATACCAGGTCGGCCCTGCAAAGGACAAAAAGCCACTGCTGAGTCAGCTTAAGGGGCCCTTATAATGACACAGCAATAATGAGGATCCAGAGCACAAAGGGCGCTACAAACATCACCTTTTGTGCCCCCATCAGGTGAAGTGAAAGGGCAAAGAGAGAAGAATCTACTGAGATCTCACAATTTCTCTATGGGGAGCTCCTACATATTACTCCTGAACCCAAATGCCTCAAGAGTAGGTAAAACTATGTTGCGGTTCTGTCTCAAATAGATGATTTAACTGCGAAGGCCAGAGCTGTCGAGATGAAGTTAGAATTAAAGGGAACAAACAGCAGGTGAAACCCTTGGTACTTTCATAGGTCCCTGAAGGAAGCTCCTGGCAGATTTTGCTGGTGTCACATGGGAAACATCTGTCCTTTCTTAGCACTGTCACACACCAGCAAGACATAGAGACAGTAACCAAGCCAGAGCCACTCTGTTGAACAAGATGATGGAAAGAGGGGCTTGTGTGATCAGGAGAAGGGCAGTTTCATCCTGACTGGAGAAAGACAACCCTGAAGAAAGGAATGCAGGGACAAACCATGTGTTGGTAGGAGCAGCATGGCAGGATCTCACAGCAGAACGTGAGACAGAGGATGGTCCTGTTGTATCTAAATGTACCCTGAGCCTCCATGCTTATGGCAGGAGGGAGTGCCAGCTGAGGGGACCTAGAAGCATAATTCCACTTCCAGATGCATGCAGAGCCACTGAGTGTTTGTTATGGCGCTTGCATCCTTTTAGCTAGGATCCCCTTTCGTTAATGGTTCAGACTGGAGTGAATTAATGTCGGAGTCTGATTTCTGCAGCTTCCCTTGGAATTTCTATCTAGCAGAGAGGTAACAGTAACTATTCTAGAGGTGGATGAATTTACTCCTCTTCCCCCATTCCGTTTATAATAAGGGAATGTACACTTGAAGACAATCTAAAAATCAAAATTCTTACAGGTCTTCCAGGAAAGCCGATTTCTCCTTTCTGTCCATGCCGCCCAGGTGGCCCCTAGAAGAACAGAGAGAAAAGGCAGGCTTAGAAAGATGGCAAGAGATTGTAAATGCGAGTTCCTGCAATATCTGTGATGTAATACCATCTGCTACAGGATTTATAATTCCAAATGGAAGCAGAAGACAAGGAATTCATCATTCCCTCCAATAGCAAACTCAGGAAGTAAGTGCTGACATAATATAGACACCAGAGGGGAAAGGGATACCCTGCTTACACTCCTTATGGCTTACAGAAACTTGGGGAAGGGCAGGCAGAAACCTGAACAGAAGGACTCCTACTAGGGAGATGGAAGCACACTGCAATATTTGGCTGCAGACTCGACTTTCCTAAGTAACCACACTGAAATAAATAGGAGCTACATAAAAGATCTACTAGCAATACCACACACAACAAGAACAAAGAGCAACAGAGAGGATAATTTAATTCTATCATTCATGCTTAATGGATGTTTAGATATATGTAAATTCCTCGCATATAAGCAAAGATACCCTTTGTAACTTACTGCTGGTCCCACAGGTCCTTGCAGGCCTGGTTCACCCTGGCAATGAAAGCAGAGGCAATTAGACCCTCCAGACAAGCAGCTTACACTCATCCTGAGTGCTTGCACAAAGTTTACAGCGAGCTTAGATTATCTTCAGTCTTTATTAAGCATTCATTTCGATTTGTTTGCAGGGTGGATATACAACAACAAACATTAATCCTGCATTCACCCGGTTTTCTTGTGGGTTGCTTACATGCCTTTCCCTTAGCTAATTGTTCACTCCACATTTTTCAATGCATTTCCCCATCACTTTCTAAACAGCAAATAAGCCAAATCATTTTTAAAAGTGGATTTTTTCCACTAGGGCAACAGAGCCCTTTAGTCCACTTGAAATGTGCATACCTAAAGTTCTGGCATGTGCTTGAATCCCTCCTGCAAAATAGTGAGAGCCTGGAGGTATCCCACACTTCTATTTACAACACTTCGCACCCCAAGTACTTTGCCTTACTGGAGTGTATCCTCAATATCTGATAATGCCTCTTGCTTCTCTGCATGAAGACTACAGAGGGGTTTGTGAGTGTGTGTAGAAACTAGCTTACTGGACAAAGTTGAAATGTACATTTGCCATTCTGTACACTTTTGCCTCCGGGCTCCATCTGCCACTGACCTTGGTGGGTTGCCCTGAAGGGAATGTCCTGATTTAGAGCACCCTGGGCTAGAGGCAAGCCCATGGTTGCTAAGGGTCAAACTAGACATTCATTAGAGATTTTGCATGCATCTGCATTTTTTTCTTTTCTTATATAATACAGACATGTGAGGGGATAATCCTTTTCAAGAAAGGATTGCCTCTCCAGCACAATAAGAATGACCCCACAAACAGGCCTCATGGCTAAAAGTCTTAGGGGGGGGGAGGCTCCTTTGGAGGCTCCTTGGCTGTGATTATTCAGATCTTGCTGGGGAGGGAGGGGAGATAAGACTTGTTATGTGCTGCCTTCAACCCCTGCCTTTGCCTGTAATTAAATAATAATATTAATAAACTAGATAAGAGCAAATAAACACTTTATCGTCCTTAACAAAGAAAGGGAGACTCTTCTCTCTCTCACACACACACACACACTCTTACCAGGGTGGTAATTGGGGAGAGACAAAGCAACATTGGTACAAACATCTTATTGCTTGGGACTTCCTAAAACCTGGCAGTGCCCATCTCCCCTGCCCACTCGATGACCACACAAAGGCTGTGAGTGGTTCTTGCCAGAGAACCACCTCACCAATCATAGTCACTTTCATGGTCACATTGCAATGAATACTGTCTCCTCCCTTTTCCCAGAAAAGATCTGAATGGTACAGATCACATGGGTAATCCCATGTGTGTGTTCGCTAACACAACTTTTGCAGAGGGTGCACATCCAAAAACTCAGTAGCACACTCTGCCAGAAGCATGGGTGGCGGCTCTCAATCTTTCACTCTCTTTTAGAGGGACTCTATACCAGTCTTTACACCATGGGGGGGGAATCCTTCAGCTTCTCGTTATACAGTAGCAAAACTGGGTAAGTGAGAGAGAGAAAAATTCAAATGAAAACATGCTTATTTCTACCTTTTCTCCTTTTGGATTAGTTGCTATGACTGTCCCATCAGGACCAATTATAACCCCTGGCTCTCCTTTTTCACCCTGTCCAAAAGACAAATGGCAAGAATGAAGACAAATGCTTGTGAAAATATAAACTTTTCAAAACAGGCAAAAAATTTCCTCTGGAACCAGGCCTCTGGCCTTTAACTATACGCCTTTTAGAAATAGGTGGGATGTTTTAATATATTTATTTGGGGGGGGGTTGTTTGGTTGTAAGTCACTTTGGGTTGTCTTGGGCAAGATAAAGCGACTAACAAATGTAATAAATAATTACGATTGAAGTATTGCTCCAGAGGAAACATGACCCATGTTATAAGCTATCTAGTACAATGATCTTATTGCAGTAAGATTCCCCAACAGATGATGATGGCTGGCAATAATGCGCATTTGTTCATGGAGAGTTCATGGAAGCATGAAATGCTATGCATGCCATGCCCTTAATCAATCACTGTAAGGCTGGAGAAGTACAAAGAAATAGAAATTGGTGCTTTGGAAAGATATTTGGATTATGGAAAACGATTTGGAACTAAGGCTGCAATCCTAACCTTGTCTAATCAAAAGGAAGTCCTACTGAATTCAAAGGGGCTCCCTCCCAGGTAAGCAGGGTTAGTTAGGGTTGCAGCCTAAGACCAGGAGCCAAACTGTAAGAATCCTCTTGATAGTGGAGCAATTTGCATTTTGGTGATCAAGTTGCAAACTGGAATGCTTTGCTCCAGAGGGTAGGACTCAAACCAATGGCTTCAAGTTACAGGAAAGAAGATTCCAACTAAACATCAGGAAGTACGTTCTGACAGAGCTGTTCAACAGTGGAATGGACTCCCTCAGAAGGTGGTGTGCTCTCCTTCCATGGAGGTTTTTAAGCTGAGGTTGGACGGCCGCCTGTCCTAGGATTGCAGAGTTGGAAGGGAGCATGATTAGTCCAAACCCCTGCAATGCAGGAATATTTTGCCCAACATGGGGCTTGAACCCGTGACCTTCATGGATGCTTTGAGATTCCTAGATGAGCCTTGGGGGTCCCTTCCAACTCTACAATTCTATGATTGTCTTACCTTTGGACCTGAAGAGCCCGGAACACCTGCAGATCCTATGTCACCTTTTGGTCCCACTGGCCCCTGGAATCACAGAGAATTACAACTGGACCATCTTTTCAGTATTAGGAGTCAGTGGAGCAATATTGTTTGTTTGTTTTGCTCCCCCCCCCCCCCGCAACTGCACACCCTTTACCTAGGGATATTAAAGCATGCTGTGAGCCAACAGGCCCCTCCTTTGCTTTGATCTGCTTGCCTTGGCCTAAGGATGAGCCTCTGGTCTACGAATAACGCCAAGCAAGCCATCAAAATAGTAATCTTCATATTTGGGGGGGAAGCTGACTGTGGAAAGTGCCAGAGAAGCCCTGCTTTAAAACAAGTCAGGCCAATCTGCACATTCATTTTTATTTTATTTTTAAATTACTTATTAGAGTTCTCAAAGGTTATTGGTGCTAGTCCACCTGTACTTTCTCCCCTTTGTAGATTTCCAGGTGGTTTGTCTTATTCTCCTGGTGCAAGCTAGCACAGCCTGCAAATGGGAGGAAAAAACTAATTGGGAAAAGTGGGGTTTAAGGCTGGAAAAAATGCCAGAGAAAATCCATTTAGTGATCTACCTAGTTTGAAAAGCTATGTGCACTTTAGCTCTCAAAATGCGGGAACAGCAAGTGATACAGCAGGACTGGTGTCTGCTGCTCCCTGCCTGGGATGCTGAGGAAATGGAAAGAAGCAAAAGGAGGAGTGCCTTGCAACCACCTCCCCACCCCCCACCCCCCACACATATCCTTCCTGTTTTGTTCTCTCTCGTTCCATTCCTTGTCCAATATACACAACCACTGACAAAATAAAAACAAGCAAAACATAACAAAAGCTTGATTGCTGCCAAGCCTCAAAGCTGCCCTCCTTTGCATCTGGTTGCTCTAGGGCAGCTCTCAGCCAGAACAGCCCCAAGGGGGGAGAGCTGCTCACTGAGGCTTGGAGCAAGGTCACCCAACCCCTTGCCAGGGCCAGGTCACACACATTCATTCTGACTTCAATGGCTCTGTTCAGAACATATTAGTACAGCTGCAAAGTCTGTAGTAGTAGTAATAGGCTGCTATGGGTGTTTTTTTTTGGGGGGGGAGGTGAATTATAAAATCGACAGGCAAAGAAAATCAAGCTCAAGTCACAGTGCCAAGACTTTAAAAAGGGGGTCGTGAATAGACACTTGCCTGATCAGCTGTGCCAAAATTGTCTCCAGGTGACCAATCTAGGAAGCTTTATAAAACTTTTTTTTACACATATGCAGATAGATGTCAGTAAATGGACTAGTAAATTGGTTTTTTTGTTGGAGTGCTAGCAACTGCTGTGGACTTACAGAGCTGACTCCTGTTGGGCTGCACTTTCCATGTACAGGTCTGGGATTTCTAGGTCTCTGTCAGAGTGTTCCCCTCCCCTTCCTGCCGCTTACCCCAGGGAAACCTGTGTTTTACTGCTGAATCGAGGCAAACAGCAATCAGGTTTTCAGCAGATTGTCATTTCTCCAATTCAGCAGCAAATAAATGGCTTTCCTGGGGAAATCTGCAGAAGGTGGAGGGGAAAACACTCCAACCTGGACCAGGAAAACCCAGAGCTGTACCTAGAAAGCGCAGCACAAAAGGAAGTGTGCATTGAGCCCTTATACATGTGCTGCAATTTTTCTCTTGCAACAGAGGATGCCACTGTATACTAAGAAAAAACTCTGGCATGCCCTCCCCGCTCCAGCCACTGGTAAACTGCAAAGATGTACAGCAGCCGAATTCTTACAATCGGAGCACTGTGAAGCCACCGGGCCATATTCAACCACATTTTTGCACTAGCACAAGGGGATTCTCCCTTCCCTCCATGTGCACCCTATGCTGTCCCCAAATCTGTCCTGGAGGGTTGGGAGTACACCGCCCCCGGAACAGATTTAGGGGGAACACAGGTGAGAGAAGAGGCAGAAATGGTTCTGTTGCACAAGGAGAAATCCTTGCACTGAAGGAATGATCTGCTTAGTGCTATATTGAACATTACTGGGTCAACTACTTACTGGGAAGCCAGCATGCCCTTGTTTGCCCTGCAAGAAGAAATAGGGTAGCATAAATAACATATAAAATATATAATAGTATTATCTCCAGCCCTTTAAACTTTAAAATAAATTGTTTGCACATAATCAGTCGAGCCCATATGTGTGGGTCACTATAGTTGCTCAGCCATGGTCTTGGAAACAGAGGCTGAGCCCTAACACAGTGTGTCAGATTAAGCGGTGTGGTGAGGATAACGGGGAATGCATCATCATTCCTTCTCACTCTTGTGCCAGCTTAGCTTCTGAAGCAGTTTATAAGAAGTGACTTTGTACATTTGTATGGATATGATGCACATCAGCAATGTGAGGAGCTGCAGCGCAGATGCCTTTATGCTTGATGCTTATTTATAATTGACATCTGTGACAGGTGGATGTTGAGTCAGCCTCCTGAAGACCCAGAAACCAATCAGGGCTGGGTGCAGTGTCATCCAATTGGGAGAGAGTAGAGAACAAAAAGTCAGAGCAACAGTTAAACTGTCAGATAAGGTTTGACTGTCAGGTGAAGATCAGATAGGGCTTGGATGGGGCCTAGATAGGGCCTCAAAATGGTTTAGCTGGGGATTAGTCAGGTGGTTAGGGGCTTGCTAAACAAGGCAACAATATTATTCCCCTGTGGGGAAGGAAAATATCTTAGAAGGGGCTGGAAGTGATTTACTGGCTTAGTAGAACAAATGGCCATTCTAGGAGGAATCCGTTTAATCAGAAACAGGTTTAAAATGAAGGTTTAAGTTCTTAATTTCTTCTGTAAAGTGTTGTTGACTGAAACAAAGTGTTTTGCCTTATCAGTGAAATCAATAAGCTCTAATGCTCATCAAATACGTTTAAATAAAATTCCAGTTTTGTTTATAGTGCCTCATCCTTACTTTGATCCTCTGACTGAGGGATAAGTTTCCTTTCACAATATTAAAAATCCTTGCTGTTGGTTATCAGAAAACGCTACCACATAAAACTAATAATAATAATAATAATAATTTATTATTTATACCCTGCCCATCTGGCTGGGTTTCCCCAGACCTCTCAAGTGTTACTGACAGGGAGTGTCTAAGAGCACAGCAGAGGTTATATTTTCTGAGAATCCTCCGGAAAAACAATCTCTCAAAGGACCAGTTGATGGCATTTTACCATTGCACAGTGGAGAGCGTACTAACTTATGGTCTGTGTGTGTGGTTTGGGAGCTGCACGGCCAGGGAAAAAACAATGCTATCCCGGGTTGTAAAGACTGCAAAGAGAATTACTGGGTGCACTCTTCCCACCTTAGAGCAAATCTATGCTGCCAGGTGCCATAAGAAAGCGGCAGAGATAGCACATGATAGTACGCACCCTGGAAATGATCTCTTTCAGCTTCTGCCTTCTGGAAGAAGGTATAGGGTTATAAAGGCCAGGACTAGCCGCCTGAGAAACAGTTTCTACGCTAATGCAATTCTGGTTCTAAACGCAGCATAAGGGGTCTCTGTAGTATAGTGTATTTTAAAATGGGGTTTTAGAGTTCTTAGGGGTTTTTGAATGTTTTATGTAGGTTTTATGTAGTTTTGTGGTAGTTTTATGTAGTTTTGTGGTAGCTTTATGTAGTTTTTATGTAGTTTTATGTAGTTTTTCAATTTCATTGTTCCGCAAGGGACAATGACAATAAAAATATCTATCTATCTATCATCTATCAAGTGTTCAAACACCCCAAACCAGATCACATTACCTCACTCTCATCTTCTTCTTTTTTTCATTCCCATCATATTGAGGGAGTTTGCCACAACATCCTTCTCACAAAATCAGAGTAAAGTGATCACTAGGATAGAAATTGCTTTTTACTTACCTCTGGGCCTGGCAGAGTAGGTAAGGTTTTCTATATAAAAAAATGAAAGGGTATACTTAAAATGTGATCTTTATTGTATTTCCTCATATTCTTTGGTAGGGTAAACTAAAGTCTGACCCAAAGTCCAGTAAAATGCCACAAATTTCTTACCGATGACCCTGAATTGTTTATTCTTATTCCTACCATTATCCTGTCATTTCTATTAAATCAACAGTAGCTGGAGAAAAGAGATGGGCTTGAATTCAAATGTAACATTACATACAATGGGTGGAATTCAACTATTACAATTGGTCGATCAGTGAAAGTATTTCAGCTTCTCTGATGGAACAATCCTCTTCTCTCCCCCACCCCCTGTTCGCTGGGATTCTGGGGGTTCCTCGGGGATACATTCCAAGTCCATTTGGGGCAGTGGGGGGCACAGGGAAGAAACTAGCACTTTTATTTAGTTGAATCTGGCCCCGTATTTTCTCAGCACGAGGACCCACTGGCTTAAATCAGCAATCTAACTTTGCAATCTAATACATGTCTACTCAGAAGAATGCCCAGCTGAGTCCAAGGACATCTAGACCCCTTTGCCTAAAAACTAAAATGAGCAGGGGGGATTGCTACCCTATTGGAAGCCAGCCAGGCCAACAAGGAACACGTAGAAAATTTTCTAGAGGCAATCACCTATTGGTTCAAACCATGGTTTAGCATGAACATGCAAGCCTACAAGCTCTCCACCACGAGATTGCAGGCACTTCCCTCCTCCTCAGTCATTTTGCTGCTGAGCTGCACTGACCTAAACCGTTGTTTGGCTTAGTGTGTCATCCAAACGCATGGTTTTAGCTCTCCTAGACAAACCACAAGCTGTAAGTAAACCAAGAACAACCTTGGTTTTAGCTCATGATCTGTCTGGAGAGAGCTAATTCATGAGCCCAGGTTTGGACAACATTCGAAGCAAAGCCATGGCTTAGCTCCATGAAGCACAGCGGCAAAATGGCTGGACATGAGCAAAGTTGCCATGATCTCCTCCCTGGGAGCTGTAGGCTCACATGTTCGCACTAGTTTGCCTTAGTGTGGTATGTGAACCAAGCCAATGTCTGCCAAGAAGGAAACTGAAAACTATCAGTCATTGAACTTCAGGGTATTAATATTTTCATGGTTGATGCTGAACTAGAAAATACAGAAACAAATTACCTTTATAATTAGAAATAATGAATTGATTCTTTGAGGAATGGCTCCTCTATGGAATCGTATCATTTTGATTCACAGCAAATAACATGATTTTGCAGAAGTAAGAGGAAGGGGTCAATAAAAAAGCACAAATATCCTTACATCATCACTGGGCAGGAGGATGACTTGTCCTGGAGGGCCGGGGGGTCCAGGGGGACCTGGCAGCCCTATTCCATCTTGACCTCGTTCACCCTCAAAAGAAAAGATAGAGAACATTTGAATGTGGTGCAGAATTCAGCGGCCAGCTTGCTCACAGGGGCAAGGCAGTTTCAGCATAGAACACCAATCCTGGCCTGATTGTACTGGCTGCCAATTAGTTTCTCAGCCCAATTAAAAGTGCTGGTTTTGACCTATAAAGCCTTCAACAGCTCAGGACCACAATACCTCAAGGACTGCCTCTGCCCATGCGAACCAACCCGGATGCTGCAATCATCATCTGAGGCTCTTCTTCGTGTGCTTCCCCATATGAGGTCTGGAGGGCAGCAACACAAGAACGGGCCTTTTCTGCAGTGACTCCTCATTTGTGGAATGCCCTCCCCAGGGAGGCTCACCTGGTGCCATCATTATATATCTTTAGATGCCACGCAAAAACCTGTCTCTATAACCAGACCTCTGTCCTTTAACTATCTGTGACCTTTTAAACAGGGGTGGGGTATTGTTTTCGTTTGTTACTATGGTATGTATTTCTGTGTTTTATATTGTAAACGGCCCTGTGATCCTTGGATGAAGGGCAGTATAAAAAATTATTATTAACAACAACAACAACAAAGTTTTTAGGGGGTGAGTTGCAAAACATATTAACTGCACACATTCTAGCCCATTTTCTGTTTGTTTGCTAAAAGCATTTGTATACTTCAATTTCATTAAAAAAATTGAAGTGGTTTACAACAGTTAAAATACAGTAACAACAAAATTTAAAACAGATCACCAGCTGACTATTAGGGAAACTGTTGCAAGCCAATCCTGGCCTGACTACACTTTACCATAACATGTTGTGTGCACACAAGCACTCATACATGTGCACATACACACACAAACAGAACTTCTCCTGAAATCCACGGGGGTACTTACTTTGGGCCCTGGGTCTCCAGTGTCACCCTTTGTTCCCTGAAATGAGAAACATGGGGGAGACAAACACATTTTCAGGGAAGGATACAGTTTTGCACAATGGAGAACTGTGTCTGGTGAAGAACTGTGTGGCAAGTGACAGCCAGTGTGGTCCAGCAGATGGAGACCTGGACATAGATCCAGAAGATCTGGGCTGAACTCCCACACTTCAGTCATGGACTCATTGGGTGGGCTTTGGGTCACCTACCACCACTCAATCTGTTCTCCATTTACAAACAAGGAAGAAGAGTGATCCCTCTCTTGGGACTATCCTAGGGATGAGTGCAATTAATATTGTTGTATTTGAGGTGTGTAATAACTTACAGATGAGGAGAACAACATTGTCACTCTATGAGGGCACACACTAGACATGGGAGATGAGAATAATACAGCTGTGAAGTCCATGTTTCTGCAGGGCTTCTTCCTGAGCTACACTTACACACAGAAGGCTGCATCCAACTAGGCTCTACTCAGAAGGGAGCCATCTAAATGAACAAACGCAAGTCTGTTCGTTTCAATTGGATACAACCTATTCATTATTTGTAGGGGTATCTTAATTTTCTGCTTTTTAGCTTTCAAAAATAAACATTTGTAGGATATTCTTTTCTGTGAATTTGTCCGAAAGATGCCAAGAAAGAGAGGAATGACTGCACTGAAATTCATGCTCACCTGTGGTCCCGGGAAACCCTCTAGCCCAGGACGACCATCCAGACCTGCCAATCCAGGGTCTCCCTGCAAACAAACAAAGGAGCCTAATAAGGGATCCTAACCTTCCCGACAAATGCCACTCAGCAATCCAGTCCAGCTCCCGTTAAATTACTTCATAGCAGTACAGTAACAAAACATCTCTTAAAAACCAGCAGGCATGGTAGGGGAGGTGGAGACAAAGTTCTCCAAGTACTTCTCAAGATTTATGACATGGTCTTACCTTCACTCCAGGCAAACCTGGGAGACCAGGGCTGCCGACATCACCCTGAAAATTAACAAAAAGACAGGCAGAAGGCCTATTTTACTGGTCATATTAAATAAAAGATGTGCTCTGTAATTTTTCTGTTTTGTTTTTCCATTTGAGTCCTAGTCCATACTATCTTGCTGTTGATGGTGGGATGGAACTTGTGACAGTATGTGGCAGTATGACACGTGTGCAGCACCATCTAAATTGGAATGGTCCTGCCTGTGCTCTGCTAGGGCAGTTGGAGTGATGCACCTTGCCTTTTGACCAGGGGTAGGCAACCTAAGGCCCAGGGGCCAGATGCGGCCCCATTGCCTTCTCAATCTGGCCCGCGGATGGTCTGGGAATCAGCGTGTTTTTACATGAATAGAATGTGACCTTTTATTTAAAATGCATCTCTGGGTTATTTGTGGGGCATAGGAATTCGTTCATCCCCCCCCCAATATAGTCTGGCCCACCACAAGGCTGAAAAAGGTTGCTGACCCCTGCTTTTGACAGTTCTGTTTTTGGGTCAGTATGCATCCTTTATGAAAGCCAAGACGTTGCACCAAAATGTAGAGGTTATCCTAGTCTGAATGACAAGAGACAGGACTAAGGAAAGCGTCGTAAGAGCCTCATCTTGCTGTTCTATAACCCTTCCCTATCCACACCTGATTCATACATGCCTTGCAGAATATATTTGCACCAACCTAGTTCAACACTCTGAGTGCTTCATTGTAACAACACCACAAAACTCAGTAGTCCTCTGCCCACTCAACCTACCACCATCCACGTTTTGCCTTGTGAACTAATATGATTGGCCTGTTATGGAAAGGACCTTAACTTGAATAGGAAAATGATTTTTTAAAAAGAGCACTGGACACTAAATGGAGTTCAGATCAGGCAGAGAGATGGATACCTTCATTTGTGGGTGCAGTTCTGGCTTAAAACAAGCCAAGCCATACTGCCTACCAACCAACTAGTTAAATACAGCAGCAAACAACAACAACAACAAAATAGTAACAACAATAATTCTGACCTTGAGTCCTGGAAGCCCTGGTGGTCCCTATAAAAATAAAAATGGTCATCAACTCAATTCTGTCAGATTTCATGACCTATAGAAGAGCACAATCTCCTCAAAGCCATATTTATACCTGTTGTGTGTATTTAGCATCCATTAACAATAATGACATAGCAGGATCCATGTTTTATAGCGTAACTTAAGGTCTGCTATTCAGATTTTAAGTATCACAGTCTACAGGCAAGGTCTGTCTTTTCAGAGTGTGCCTGACACTCAGCTGTGGACTAGGACATTAACATGGCAATCAGTGGAATATGCTTGTTTCTGCAAGAAGAACAACAACAGACCGAATGTCTCCAGCGGGACACTGGCAACATGGAAAGCTTTTAATGCATGTCCAGTATAGACTCGGGTGATAATATGCCATCATCCTCTAGATGAGGGGATCAGAAGATAACTTCAAAAGCTCATAACTTTCTTATTTGGTCTGCACCCCCCTTAATCACAAGTGGTAACACATGGCCACACAGTGCTGAAAGGTTAACCTCAACACTCATAAAAAATATAAACTGATTAGCAGCCCATTCCTATGCATCTTTACTCATAAATAAAGCTTGTGTTATTCAAATCCTGCATGCTCCCAAGCAGGTGCTCACAGTGATGGAGTCTTTGGAGGAAGGCAATGCTGAGAAATGGAATGAGGAATACCTGTGGCCCTTCTGGTCCACGTGCTCCAGGAACAGCAGAAACCAACGGCAGCCCTGAGCCCTCCATGTCATCCTAAGAAAGAATGGATGGCGTTAGTCTCCAGGCAGAACTGTCATCAGGTAAAGCCTGTGGAGAAAAGCCCTGATCTCTTCCCATCCATTTTGCTTGAGCAAGCCAGACATATCCAAGTTCCCAAATACACAAGCACAGGATAGGTCCCTCTGGAAGCAACATCAAGAAATCCCAGTGCGAATGAACACTAAGATAGTCACATCCCCAGGAGCTTCCTACCATCCTCGCCCCTCTAACTCCCCTACAGGTGTTTACAGGTGACTTGGCAAATAATTGGCTGAGAAGTGCCACCGGACACTCAGCTGCAATGTGGGTAGGAAACCCTTTAAAAAAGAGAGAGGCTATGGCCATGCAGCCTTTTGTCCCTCACACTAAAGTCCCTTGTCCATCACTGACCAACAGAAAACCCTGCAAATGACCAGCTATGCCTGTTTCTAAGTCATTGGTTCTTGATGAGCTAGACTTGAGCTAAAGAGCTCCTTTTATTTTCAATATTCTGCTTAGTTCCTTTGTTCTCTTCCCTTTCCTTCTTTATTCCTAATAAACGTTATCTAATTAGACAGTTGGTTCTTGCATACATTGTTGCCAAAGTCACAGGGTTAGTGTAAAAATTCCCATGTTCCTAAACCATTTGGTTCATTTCTATGGAGGTACGGAAATTGGGATTGACAGAGAAATGCCAGTTGCTTTGGTCTTTGAGAGAGATGCAGTGGATAATTCTGACCATCTTCTGCTCCCTCAAACTACTCTACTCTTCCTTCCTTGCTTGCTTTTCCTTATACCTGGAACTCCCTTCTAAAATATCCATGTGACGCCACTTCACTCTCACATCCTTCAAATCCCTCTTTTCCCAGGAAACCTTTGACTCATCTCCTACTGAAGCAAAGTCTCAACATAGTCACCATACATTTAAATCACCCCTCCCAAAGAATGCTGGGAAGCGGAGTTCAAGGGGGCTGGAAATTGTAGGTCCCAGGATTCTTTGGGGCAAAAGGAATGACTGTTAAAGTGATATGAATGTGTGGCTGTAACCTGTCTGTAACTTAATTTAATGAACAGTCACCTATTTATCCTTGCCTCCACCTGTCTCTCCTCCTTTTATTGCCTTCATCCATGTTCACATTTAGTTTGAAAAGAGGAACATTTTTCTTTGTTTGGTACTCTGCTAAGCACCTCACACACTGATGGAACAACTACTAGTAGTACAACCAAGTTTTTCCAACATTTTGCACTTCTTGGGTCTTATGGAGCCCACGGAACAGTGGTGTGTTCAACAATGGCATTTCAAATACGGTACTCACAAATCCAGGCCCAAAGGCTGGCCCAGGTGGGCCAGGAGGACCAGGTTGTCCTCGGGGACCCATGGGCCCAGGAAGGCCTGCCAGGCCAGTTTCACCCGGTGCTCCCGGAGACCCTGCATCTCCTTTACTGCCCTGGAAGAAAACAGGAAAGGATGTTTGAAAAGAGCAAAGAGAAGGAAAGTACAAGAGGGCCAAAAATAGCCTGGTAATAGGATATTATGCACAGTATTTCTGAAAGAAAACCTTGCAATGCTGCCTCTCTCTCGTTACATGCATTACAAACATCTGTATGTGCATCACATCCCAGAATGGCACATGCTTCTGATCTGCGCTCTGTTGTCAGATGCTCACACTGGTTGAAGTGTACAATGCCACAAGTGTTACCAAGTGTGTGCAGCTGAACAGAGGAAGCACCCTAAATTGCATAAAATTGGGGACTAACTCAGCCTGCATATTTTGAATTTTGCAGCTGTCGAATTGCAGCTGACTTAGCATGTAGATATGCACCACACAGAACCTCTTAATGCACACAACAGTTTATTTGCACTCCCGTACAGGAGTGGTTTCTGTGGCCCAAACTGGTGGCCTACACACACGTTTAGGTCTTTTACATAAGCAAGTGTACTGGGGATATGTAAGGAAATCTGACGTCAGACACACTGGCTTCAGGACTGTACCCAAAGTCTGCATTTTGTCCATTATCAGGCAGAACATGTGCACTAAGAAGAGAAAGTAAATTATGGTCTACGGGAAGTGTAGCTTACAGAAAATATAGACTGCTTTTATTTTATAGCTAGATGCTATTGTCTTATCAGTGTTCAATAATAAAGGCATTCTCATCTGAAATGTTTTTAAGCTTGCTTTTAATAAAATAATGTCAAAAACGCTAAGGTTAGAGGAACATCTTCTTTTACATCTCTTAAGAGTGCTGGGTTAATAGAAGGAGATGTGTCTTTTCCAGTGCCTAGGTGAGAAAAGAAACCTTACATGGTTATTTATTTATTTTTAAATGGGACTACCACCACCAATTAGGCCAGTTCAAAGAACGTGTTAGAAAACACCCAGACCTGCATGTCATACTGCAATAGAGGGCAGGGGGCGTTCTCCCCACAATTCCACAAACCATTCAACATGCAGGATCACACTGTATTGTTATTACACCTCTGCACACATATCAAACTGCATTTTTTTGTGCCACACAAACACATGCGCAGTGATGTTACCTCCATTTTTTGTCTTCCCCTGTATGGGGTTCTGTAGTAGTAAGAAAGTATCTCTAACACATCAGGGGAGATAGGAAGCAGAGTGTTCTAGTTAGGTGGGGGAAAGTAAATGGAAAATAGGAAGGTTGAGAAGCAGGAAAAGAAGATGAAATGTCTGAACCACCTATGAGAGAAGACAACCTCAGTCTTACTCTGTCCTGTCCTTGTACTGTACCCAGAAAGTGAGCTATTCTACCTTAGGTCCAGGTGCTCCTGGGAGGCCTAGTTCTCCTGGTTCTCCCTGGAAACAGCAAAGGAAAAGAAGTGTGAATGTGCTTTTCTTTTTTTACTAAATTCAAGCCAGAGGCAGCCTATTTTCTCAGCTCTGTGAAAGGAACTTGCACAGCTAAGAGAGAAATATACATACACTAGCTCCATTCAGCCCAGGCTGGCCAGCTATCCCATCTTTTCCTGGAGAACCGGGAGGGCCCTGGAAAAGATTAGAAAAGGAAAGTTGTGTTAAAAGCTGCCATCAGCCAGTTTGCATCCATTAATCCCAAGACCATTCCTTGTCAAAGGATACCGTCTCTTCCCTGTAAACAGAACTACATATTGTACACGTCTTTGTGTACTAAAAGAATGAAAGCTATTTTCCACTGGACACAACTTTTGCAGGGGAGTATGTATTGGATTTTTATTGGAAAGATTGCAGTGTGTGTGTGTGATTTATTTATTATTTTATTTATTACATTTATATAGCACCTTTTTCTTCCAAATAGCTCAAGGTGTTATACACGGTTCTCCTTCTCCCCATTTCACCCTCACAACCCCGTGAGGTATGGTAGAGCAGGCACAGGCAAACTCGGCCCTCCAGGTGTTTTGGGACTACAATTCCCATCACCCCTGACCACTGGTCCTGTTAGCTAGGGATGATGGGAGTTGTAGTCCCAAAATATCTGGAGGGCCGAGTTTGCCTATGCCTCGGTTAGGCTAAGTGATGGTGACTGGCCCAAGTCACCCAGTGAGCTTCATGGTTAAGTAGGGATTCGAACCCTGTTCTCCCAGGTCCTAGTCCAATGCTCTAACCACTAAATCACACAGGCTCTCAGTGTGAAACCTTTCCCTTGCTCACTGTTTCTTCACTCCAAGGTGTGTCCACAAAGCACTTTTCTCCCTGTGATGCTCCGGGTGTGTGTTTATTCATAAAAGAAGCTCCATTGTTTGGAACTGTGCAGAGAAGCAACTTGGGACAGATTATCACACACCCGCCCCAAAGGAAAAGTAGGTTGCCCTGTGTTCCACAAGCTACTAGTTTAGACTGTCATACTTGCACCTCTTGGCTACAAGATTATGAAATATTCACATTATTATATCTCATGCTTATATTTGGGATACTGTTTTAGCTTTTGGTGATGCTCACACATATATAGAACTATTTGTGACCTATACCCAAAGCAGCAGAACAGAAGCCTAAGTTTCTTATATGCATCCAATTAATCAAGACCATGTTTCAGGTCAACTCCAATGAAAATGCTGCTAACGCAATACAGGGAACCTATGTGCAATAACTTTAAAGGTTTGGTAACACCTGGCAAGCTTTTACTTTGTGGACTAACTCCAGCAACCCCACAAGAGCACAACAAAGCAGCAAGCAAAGGCTTCCACCCTTATCCATGCCTCTGAAACTGCAGTGGAAGAGTTGACAACCAAAGCCAAAGCCCCATAATACTGGGAGCTGGGGCAGTTTCTGGAGACTCGCATTTTACCATCCTCAATTATTCCTTCCCCGCATCTTCTTTAACTTACAGGAGGCCCTGGAGGTCCTGGGCTGCCATCTCGACCTGGCACTCCAGGGAGGCCAGGGGGCCCTGGAAGGTCACTGCCATCCGTCCCAATTCTTCCAGGTTGTCCTGGCAAGCCAGGCACACCAGGTGGTCCTGGGGGCCCGGGTTGTCCTCTGGGGCCCTGAAACACAACAAATAGGATTCAAAATCAGGTGTGAACATATAATATAAGAGAGCATTTGTGGTGCAAGTTAACTTCTGAGGTGCATGCCATTCACCACCTCCCCAGAAGAAATCCTTCTGAAGGCAGCACCTGTTCACACTGCTTTTTGGTACTTACACGTAAGGTTTCCAAATCCCCTCCAAAACCAGAGCCTTCCATATCGATAAATGTCTGAAAGAAAAGCACACTGTTCTATAAGCACACCAATGAGAAATGCTAGTGGGGTAAAGAATTGGGCCCAACTCTGGCCTCCTTGCTGTGAGTTTAACAGTGTAAGGAGTTAAGTTTATCCCAAATGAGAGAGTCAGACTCAAGACATTGTGAAGGGTGTTCTAATAATTGAGAAAGAAAAGTACTCTCTCAAATTGCCTAGTATTTATTTTTTTCCTTTATTATTCAGTGGTTCAGCCTACAAGGGCTCACAGCACTTCTTACAATAAAACGTAACATTGGTAAAAGTAGCACGATATTTAAGAGCAAAACAGATCATAAATACAGGATGAAAAATAAACTCTGAAAAGGTCTGGGCAAATAAAATGATTTTTACTGGATGTAAAAAAAGAAAAGAAAACACGCTCAGAAAATTAATGCATACAATAAAAAATTATGCCATGCACAGACTTGTTATTTTTTTTAATGGAAGAGTGGCTTATAAATATTTAAATAAAGGAAGAGAGGAGAGGGGAGAGAGGGAAGGGTGAACTGTGGCTTCAGAGGAAAGCAAACAGCTACACCAGACAGCTTCAACCAGAGGGGGCAGTGACAAGGAGAACGGCTTCTCCCCATGCAGTTATTGTGGGTATCTGGGACTCACCAACTTGTCCAGTTTTGAACTGAATCCTGGTTGCCCAGGTGGCCCTGGTGGCCCAGGAGAACCTCTTGGACCAATGCCTGCATCACCCTAGGTGAAGAGAGGAAATGACAGAGATGAGAGCATTGGCCACGCTTTCGCAAAGCAGCACAAATGAAATCTGCTCAGAAAACACCGATGGCTGCTGAACTTGAGAGTTCAATGATACCAGAATATGCCCATGTGACGGAAGCTCATACCTTTTCACCTTTCTGGCCAGGCTCTCCCGGCGTCCCAGGGAATCCTTGAGGGCCAACATCACCCTGCAAAGGAAATAAGTCAAGGAAGTGATGACGTCTGGGTGATCCCAGAAGAGCCACACAGAGAGCATCTAAACATGTTTTATAAACACACACACACACACACACACACACAGTTGCACATCATGCCCCAGTTCACACACCACACAAGGTTTTCTTCTGGTTACAAGCTCATGAATAATCTAGAGAAACCACAAGCCCAGGTTGAAAATGGTGCATTTGGCTAAACTCAGCACATCACAGCTGCAGACAGGTCTGTGGAGGGAAGAAAGCAGCTGCAAGCTCCTTCCCAATTTGGTTTAGAGTGACATGCAAACCAGACCACTGTGCAGGCAGCTGAAAGTCACTCCCAAGATGAAGTGCCTTCTGATGAACAGCACCTGCCACCCGGGCTCTACATTAAGAAAAATCTGTTTAAGATTATAGATTATAGAATAATAGAATTGGCAGAGTTTGGAAGGACCCTGAGGGTCATCTAGTCCAGTGTTTCCCAACCTTGTGCCTCCAGCTGTTTTTGGACTACAATTCCCATCATCCTTGCCACTGGTCTTGCTAGTCAGGGATGATGGGAGTTGTAGTTCAAAAACAGCTGGAGGCACAAGGTTGGGAAAACACTGATTCTAGTCCAACCCCCTGCAATGCAGGAATCTCAGCTAAGCAACCATGGACAGATGATAAAACCAAGTTCCTGCTAAGAAGCAGTACACACACCATGCATGCTGGGGGCTTAGTTTACAATGTTCTAACTATTTTGACGTCTCATAAACAAACATTTGTCACAAAATACCATACACAGACATGCTTGAAAGTGATGCAATAAAGTATTTCTATAAAATATTAATACATTTAAAACATTTTTATTTTAAAAAATATTTTTGTTTCATTTTCATTTATTATTATTATTTTTAAACTATGATCAGGTTGTTTACTGTTATGTTTACTGTTACTGTTACACAGCACTTTGTCTCCACCAAAAAATTAAAAACCCCAAACAGGGATTTCAAAGTTCAGGAAAGGGAAACTCCAAGAACTGTAATTATTTTCTATACTCCTAAAATAGGCAAGAGAAGAAAGAAACTACTTTTTTATGGAAAGCATAAAATCTATTTCCCTATAACTATACCAGTTGAGGGATTTATCTACAGGTGTTTACAGGTGACTTGGCAAATAATTGGCTGAGAAGTGCCACCGGACACTCAACTGCAATGTGGGTAGGAAACCCTTTAAAAAGAGAGAGGCTATGGCCATGCAGCCTTTTGTCCCTCACACTAAAGTCCCTTGTCCATCACTGACCAACAGAAAACCCTGCAAATGACCAGCTATGCCTGTTTCTAAGTCACTGGTTCTTGATGAGCTAGACTTGAGCTAAAGAGCTCCTTTTATTTTCAATATTCTGCTTAGTTCCTTTGTTCTCTTCCCTTTCCTTCTTTATTCCTAATAAACGTTATCTAATCAGACAGTTGATTCTTGCATCATTGTTGCCAAAGTCACAGGGTTAGTGTAAAAATTCCCATGTGCCTAAACCACTGTGTTCATTCTATGGAGGTACGGAAATTGGGATTGACAGAGAAATGCCAGTTGCTTGGTCTTTGAGAGAGATGCAGTGGATAATTCTGACCATCTTCTGCTCCCTCAAACTACTCACTCTTCTCTTGCTTGCTTTTCCTTATACCTGGAACTCCCTTCTATGTATGCACTACACACTCACTCACATCCTTCAAATCCCTCTTTTCCCAGGAAACCTTTGACTCATCTCCTACTGAAGCAAAGTCTCAACATAGTCACCATACATTTTAAATCACCCCTCCCAAAGAATGCTGGGAAGCGGAGTTCAAGGGGGCTGGAAATTGTAGGTCCAGGATTCTTTGGGGCAAAAGGAATGACTGTTAAAGTGATATGAATGTGTGGCTGTAACCTGTTTGTAACTTAATTTAATGCACAGTACCTATTTACCCTTGCCTCCACTTGTCTCTCCTCCTTTTATTGCCTTCATCCATGTTCAATTTAGTTTGAAAGAGGAACATTTCTCTTTGTTTGGTACTCTGCTAAGCACCTCACACACTGATGGAACACTATTAGTAGTACAACCAAGTTTTTCCAACATTTTGCACTTCTTGGGTCTTATGGAGCCCACGGAACAGTGGTGTGTTCAACAATGGCATTTCAAACATGGTACTCACAAAT